GGAGATGAAAGAACATGTTTTCCTCCCTGAGTCTGGCCTTCATAATTCCATTCCATCACAAAAACTAATCAACAGGGCTGGGCAGATTTTCAAAAAGTGCTTCATTTCAAGCAACTCTGAAGGAGAGGTGGGAAAGAAAGCTTTCTTTGCTTGTCATTGTTGAGGCAAAGCTGCTGCATGCTGTTGCTTGGCTTGATAAGAGCAGCTTCTACTCATACGCAGCAGCTGCTATTAATGAAGTAAGTGTTTGGCCCATCCTGGCACTTTGTCAAAGCAGAATGACATGTAAGAGATGACATTGTAGGAGGAGAGCCATGTTAGTCTATGGTAGCCAAAAAAAATCAGAAGGAATATGGGAGTACCTTTTCACACTAGAAAAACTACTACCAGATTTCTTCTGATATAAAAGGTGAAGTACCTTATTGAGGAAGAAAATGGGTGATCCACAAATCTCCACTAATCAATATTCTTATTTTCAGAAAGCCACACAAAATGGGAATTGTTAAACAATAATTAGCTTTTTGCTTTCATCTGTTTACAGTGTGCTTACCCAAGCATACTTATCTGGGAATAAGCCCCACTGAATTAATCAGTTTGACTTCAGAAGACTTACAAAGAGTTCCACTAGTTCTTCAGCATGTACCCTTGCAAAGAAGGGTGCAATGGAAGAGCAGCAAGATAGAAAATCAACCTTTGCCCATAAATAGAATTTTCTTTACTTTCTCCAGTGCAAGTTTCTTGCTGCAAAGAATGATTAGAGTTTTTTAAAGAAAGAAATATATCCTGGAAAAAGGAAATTCCTTCTGTAAAACAGAAACTCCAATAGGCCTCTCTTTTTTCTCTCCTTTCTATAAAAACAAATACATGCAAACTGATGCTTATCATTCTGTTTTCTTCTTTTATTTTTAGCTCTGCTTGTCTTTCATTAGTGAGAAAAAGGATAACTTGTAAAGGGAACGAAAGAAGATTTAAGTGTAGGAACAGCCTTGGTAGCTGTTGGGCATCCAGGCTAAAGATGCTGGAGCTTCATTGTTTATATCTGTAGGTCCACACTTTTGGTGTGGTTTTCCCCTTTGTTGTTTTGGTGTTGCTTCAACATGTACATGGTACACAGTCAAAATAATTTCCCAATGATTTACAATGTCTGTTAATTCTATTGTTCATTTTCCTTTTGTCTACTTCTTCCTGTGATGCATTTGGGACAAGAAAAATCAGATGAAACTGCAGCAACTTCCAGGGATGATCTGGACAACAGCTGCTTTTGGTTTATTTCTTTGGCCTGGAGACCAACAACCACAGCTGGAGAGTAACAACTGCAGCACTTATGGATGTAAGGGAGCATAAGTGACCAGGGCCTCTGCTCCAATTCACCCTGCTTCCAATCTGCTTTTTGAGGCAAATTTATCAATGTGCTTCATAAGACATGCTGTGTCTCACAGTTCAATTTACCTAGCTATTTATAAAAGTATCAGCAGCACTAGCCATGTATTGGTTTATATTTTTCAAAAGGTATAATTTCTGAAACCAGAGGTAATAGGTGATGACTCATTCAAATGGTTTGTGTTAACTGAATAAAGACCTTGAAAACTGGAGGAGGAGGAGGAAAAGATCCATACAGAATATCCAAGAGAAATCACAGAATGAAATAATATATTTTAGTTTGACCTGAAGATGTAATAAGTTGGTCTAGTTCATAATGGTCAAGAAGTTGTTGAATCCCATTCTCAGAGTAAATCCTTTTGGACAATGTGTTGCTTGCACTTGAGGGCTAGCAAGTTAGATTAAAGGGTAATCATTACCTATAAATATCTCTGTCCTCCAGCTGCTAACTATCCCTCAGCTGCCTAATGGTAGAGCTGTCTTTCTTGATTATGTTTCCAAGAAAAGACCATTAAAAAAAACCTTGCTGAGTTAGGAAATAAGTTGATTTTTTACAGTCTATTTTTATCAAAGATTCAGATAAGAAAAAATAAATTAGAACTCAGAAAATGCATTCATGCATATGTACTTAAATAAATATATTTGCACCTGTTTCTCGGCTTGATTATTTTCTTAACAAAAAATTTGAAAAATGTAAACCTGTACCAAAAGGCAGCATTTGCTCTATTGTCACATTTTTTTTGCAGTCTTTTCAAACATGAATTAATGCTTACATTTAAGACTACTGCATTGCTTTCATTTGTTTTGTAATGTAAACAGAAATTTGTATTAATGATTTTTATTTGGGAGTGATGGAAAGTTACTTTCAAGACCATGTCAAACATTAGGTATATTTTATGGAAACGTGTATATAGCTGTGGTTGGGATTGGCTTCCTCTTTTTTTACATTTGGACTATATTCATTTCATCTTTTCTCACAGCCCATGAAAACAATATTTAACTCAAGCAACACTGTTACTAATTTATTAGGTTTTGATCTATGACTTCAACTTCTTCCTATTTCTCTTTTCTGCTTTCTTTTCTGTCCTTATTTCAACTTGCCTTTCCTTCTCCATGTTGTCAAATTATATCTCATCAGGAACTCAAATATTAATTATATTGTGTTAGCTACTTTCTAATATCAATAGTGTGCGTGTGTGTGTGTATGTATGATGGCTTTCAATCACACTAATTTTAGTTTAAGGCTGGGATGTAATTGTGAATAATGCCTCTTAATATTATTTCCATATGGATCTGGATTTGTTGGCTTGGAGGCTAATTTATAGTGAAATCCTAGGCAATACTACTTGAAGTAAGCCCCCTTACTTTGGGAGAGGAGCTCTTCCCATTCATTTTTCTCTGGATATGGGGGTAGAGTAGGGAAGAATATTTTCTCTTGGAACTTCTTTTGCTTAATTCATGTTAGAACCCAAGACTGTCCTATTTATAGAGCATCCTTTTCACTACAGCAATGAAACTCACTCAGACATCTTCTTTCCACTTCCATACTTACTGTAAAGAAATAGGCTAGCATTTGTGATTCCCAGTTTGTTGGTAGCGACACAGGTATAGTTGCCATAATGTTCTTCAGTGACATTAGTCACTGTCAGGAAGGACTGGCTCCCTATGCTCCTGATCTCCAGACCATTGGCACTATTTATCCTGAGAATCAAGAAAAGTGAATGGTAAATACAGTAACACTTTGCATTCTTTGTATACGGTAAGCATGAGAATGTCAAAATTTGAATGCAGACTGCAGACAGATATGGAATGAGAAAGGTACTTTGATGCAGACAGCAGATTACATGAGAATGGAAGGGAGAAAGCTATGCAAGTTACAGATTTTTTATCTACAAGTTTACCCTTGCTTTTTAAATTGTCTTTTTGCATTACTTCATAAATAATTTGGTAAGATTTGTCTTTTACATTGTTTCACCCCTCTTCTCTTTCAACTCCTCCCCCATAATTCAGTATGTTCTCTCTTTGTAGAAATATAGCTATGTTAGTCTTTTGCAGCAAACACAACAAATCACCTTGTGGCATTTTAAAGATTAACCATTTTATTGTAGCATGAACTTTCATGTGCACTCTCTTTTAGATACAATCCAAATAGTTCCTTTCTCCTCTAAATCTTGCACAAACTCTACTGCAAACCTTTATTTAGAAGCCTAGCATTCCCTGGCCTTGAATTCAAAGCACAACTGATATTATACAGATACCATACCTGTGTTTGTTGCTAACCTGTGGACATAGAGCTAGTGGGTGGAATGTTGAAAGAAAAAAAAAAAGATGAGTGATGGAAATTTTGGAAAGTGAGCATTGAGTATAAAGAGAACATTTTTTTTAGCTAGACATCAGAGATAACAGAAAGAAGAAGATAAATAGTATAATTACCTAGTGTCATCTCTGTACCATTCAAAATCAGGCGTAGGCACAGCAGAGGCTGCACACTTAAGTGAAACTGGCCGCCCTGTAGCAGATACATTGCTCTTGGATTCCGTGATAGTTGGCGGGTCTGCAGGAGAGAAAGACTGGCTGATGTCACTGCCATCAATGTGTGCCTACTTGGAGCCACAATGCAAGGAGTTCAGCCATTCAAATTTGAGTATCTTCAGGCTTAGCTATGCTTTTGTAGGCATCAAAAAGACCCCAACTAATGAAAACTATTAATAAGGGCAAGAAATAATGAAGGTGAAAAGCAGCAATTAGGGGATATGTCATTCTTATCACTAAGAATGCCAGCAAATTTAGATAGGAGAAAATCCACCAAATATTATGCCAGAAAAGATTTTCATGGTGGGACCAATTTGCTCCAAAACTCTTATTCCATGTCCTGTCCTGAGGCACACAGTAAAAGGTCCTTACTCTTCCATAAGCATTCCTATACTGGATTATGTATGAACATTTGTGTTAAACCGGGACCTGGAAGATGCAGGATCAAATCTTCCTGAGCCAGGGAAACTCACTTGGTGACTTTGGATCAGATATTATCTCTCAGCATAATTTACGCCTTAAGGCTGTTGCGAGAAATATAAGAAGAGGGTTTTATGTTTGAAATGAATAAGAATATTTTTTTAAAATCTAGTAGTCTCTTTGCTATCTTAACTGAAACAAACTTTTTCTGCTCCACGAGATCTAACTTAGGAGATACATCACAAAATGAGTAAATATTTGTACGCAGATCTGAAAGCGAAACTGCTGTGCTTGTGTTCCTGGATCCCACCAAGGAGCCAATTCCCTTACTTTCAACTGCATTCTTCGTATTAGCCATATGCCTGACACTTAAAAAGAAACATTCTGGAAGGCTAACAACCAGTTGCTTCAGCTTTATTCTTGATCAGATACTACAGATACTGTTTTATCTATAGAATTTAAGGACAACACATTCAAAAGCTGACAAAATTACCAGGTTCATTTTCCTGGGAGGCCAATGTAATGGCTCAGTCTAAAGATGGCCAATATTTTGTGTGTACGAAGAACATGAAGTAAAAGATATGCTCTATTGTGAGTTCCAAGTCCAGCACCTTACCGCTCAATCTTGGTAATGAATATGGGTACTCATACTGCAAGCCTGTACACACTGACTTGTGAATGAAATCCACAAAATCTTGTGGAATGCACTGCATTTCATTAAAAAATATTGTGGGTTGTGGTAATAGTAAAGAATGCTAAGATGGAAAAGATGAGCGTATGGCAGAAAAAGCAAATCCCATGGTGATTTGTCTTAAGTGAAATGCAGCTTTTATTCTGGTAGCACATAGATTTGGGTTGTTAGATGTTTTATATTGTTGGCTTTCTTTATAATAAAGGAAACAGTCTTATATCATCTTATCCCAGTACTGCCCTTGGTGAGTGTCAGTTCTGAAACCAACTGCATTTGGATCCTTTTAATTGGAGATGTATGGATGGAACCTGTGCTCATCTTCCTGCAAAATGTATATGCTTATTCACTGAGCTATGGCTTTTCTCACTGCAAACGTGAAGGACCAACTACTCTAATGCTGAATACATAATTAGATCTCATAATTTTGCCACTTCCTACTATATTTTTTAAAGGGAAAAAGCAACAAGAATTAAACATCAGAAAGACGAAAACATCAAAATCAAAATGTAACAGTCAAAAGATTATGCAAACTATACCTTCTGTGATGGCACATATTTGAAATCCAGTGTAAATTGTTAACTTAAGCCTTCCTCTGCATACAGGCTATGATCCCATCCAGATTTTCAGGGATAGTTCCCATTTTAATTTTACAAAATTAATTTTTAAAATTACACTTTCAACATTTCTGAAATTACACCATGGCCTGCACTGGTGAATAATAGGATGGACTTGGATAGAATTGACCAGAGTAATTTTAGGGAGTGGGAAAGTATTTTCAATTAAATCAAAGGTGGCTACTTGGGAATAAGAACTAATTTGCAACATTTTTCCACAGGTTATTAGGATCCAAGACTTTGCTTCATCTTCCTCATACAAAATCACTAAGTGCTAGATTTGCAATCTGAAGTGTTATGTTTAGAGTTGCACATTTTTATTTCTAGCCACTGTTAAATAAAATGTGCAATGACAGCTCAAACAAACAAAGGCCTTTAGTGTGAGTTTAAATATATGTACTTGAGTCTATTTTTAATGCAAATTTATCCTTTTCCAGTGTTGCATAAACTTCAATTAAATAATAAAGACAACATATCCAACTGGGATATTTTTGGCCCATTATCTTCCCTAAAACCTGAAAATAAGCAACCATGCTCTATAGAATTTATTGAAATCACATAAGTAGACAGTTGAACAAGGTTTATATATTTAAAAAAACCCTATGAAAGCAAAAGAGGGTAGGTAGGTGGGTGCTCAGAAATGAGATAGGACTTTCTTTCACCCTTCTACTTTCAAATGCCCCTTGAAATTAAGTGATTCCTGGACTTTAGAACAACCTAGCCGTAATCTGAATGCTCTTGCTTGTTTTGCTCCCATTGCCAACACCCTCAACCTTCCTGTACTGAATGAATACATTTGTAGTTGTACTTACTTGAGTGTAATAAATATTTTCATAATTGTGATGCTCATTAAGGTAGGAATCATGGCTATACTGAAGTTTCTGTTTGATTTCAGAAAATATATACAGGAGCTACTTGATGTACAACACACAGATCATGGACATAAATGCATCCTCATCCTCTTATTCCTTTTAAGGCATAATGTCTGACTAACAAGGTCAGATCTATCAGGTTATAAAATTATGAGTTGCGTTATCCTTCATTCTTTATTATGACACTATTATGGAACCCTGCTATTGTGAACTTAAAACAAGATCCTTGCTGCTTTCATCTTGCTGCTTCCTACAATGGAAGGCTAACTATGAATTCATATAGGATGGGCTCTTAAATAACAATCTTATAGCCTGATGGAAGCTATTAACTACTGTAAGGAAAAGAACCGCCACACCTCCAAAATTAGGAGCAAAGAAGAAAATTGTGTACACATACGCATACATATGTGGCCTCCCAGAAGATAGCAGTTTCAGCATTTCATATTATGTTACTGAGCAGCTTTTTGTACCTTGTCTTTCCTCCTTTAATGAAACAGAATTAGTATTTTTGTTAAGAAAAATCAACTGACATAATAAACATAATCCAGGTATAGAAGAAGTTATCGGAGGAGGGCTACAAAAATATTATATTGCAATTCCATTCAGGGTTACACAGATGTTTCTGCTTTCAGTTGGCTTTATTCTTTGTTTTTGTGGAAATATAAATAATTTCTATTTGAAATCTAATGCAAATAAAATCAAGGAATGGTTGTAGGAGGATAGACTTTTTCTTTTTATGATTACTATGATTATGAGTTTGTTATATGGTCCAGAATCCCAACAATTATAAAATAATCCTGAGAATATACTGTTTCTTTTGTTTCCCTTGTCTCTTCTTTATTTATTAAAACATTTTAAATGTTAACCCAAAAAGAAGAAAAGAAAAAAAATGAATAAAAGGAAAAAATAACAGTAAGTAGAGAGTTTACAACTGTAATAAAAATTAAACTCCAATATTGCATTAATTAATATATTAATTGATTGTATTGAATTGAGTAATTGTATCATTTTTAAGAAAAATAAAAATCTCTACAAAACTCTGAACAAAATATTAATATCACCACTATTTATTATTATTTTAAGGAGAAATGCATATACCCATATAAAAGAGAAAGAAAAAAGAAGAAAAAGAAAGAAAAATAAAAATCTCTACAAAACTCTGAACAAAATATTAATATCACCACTATTTATTATTATTTTAAGGAGAAATGCATATACCCATATAAAAGAGAAAGAAAAAAGAAGAAAAAGAAAGAAAAATAAAAATCTCTACAAAACTCTGAACAAAATATTAATATCACCACTATTTATTATTATTTTAAGGAGAAATGCATATACCCATATAAAAGAGAAAGAAAAAAGAAGAAAAAGAAGAAAAAGGAAAAATAGAAAACAATAAAAACATTATTAGAAAACTACTTGATTTCAAAGTCCCTTCCATTGTACCCTGGCTGATAGTTACAATCAACATGTTCATGAGCATTTTATATTGTTTCTGATAACAATCCTTGCACTCTTGTGGGTTTTATTTTTTTAATAAGTGTGTTTAAATTATAGCACTGGTAAAAAAAAAAAGTGCGATTTCTCAGGCAGACAAGATCTATATTACATACATAATCACATATATAAATCCTAACAGATTAAAATAATGTTCAAAGTGACAATCTGACTGAAAAGTAAATATGGCCAATATTACTATGACCCATGATATCTACAGTATAGTTTCCTTCTTCGCATACTCTTTTTTCTCTTGGGACTAACTCAAATGATGGTGATCACATAAATTCTTTCCCTCTCCTGGAGATTAAAAGGAAAAAAAATGGTTTGGTTCTTTAAAAGCAGAGGATATAATGATAGAGCAGGATTTTCCATCTCCCAACAGCATCTGAATTAACAGTTTGAATCAACCAGGAGGCAGGAGAAGCAGGAGTAAGAACTTTTCTTCAGGTGTCAGATAGGTAAAATGTCTATCCAGGAATTTGTGCTAGGTTTTTTTATTTCCATTTTTGGTATTGTGCTAAACCCCATGTTCTTTATTTCTCTACCTTAGTTAGGGAATTGGGCATAATTTTAACCTTTATTAACCCATAAGGCTGTTTTCAAAAGCTGTAAGTTTTTCTTTAGAATCTCTTCTGATGTGTAATAATAAATTGAAACCTCTCCAGTATTTTGCAAGAGATTCTGGCAGACAGACCTCTATTTGTAGCAGAGCAGCACCCACTTGGGATCTGTCTGAAATTTATTTTTGCCATATTCAATGTTTTCTTTTTGATGTTTAAAATTAAAAGGGGGCTTTAAAGTGTTTATCTTTTTAAAGTTAAGTGTTTGCTTATCTCCTGTGTGATTGGTTTGATCTTCAAAGGCATGGAGGGGGAAGGAAGGGCTGAATCCTCTGTTCACCATGTTTATATTCTATACCAGGGTTTCTCACCTTGGCAACTTTAAGACGTGTGGACTTCAACACCCAGAATTCCCCAGCATATGTTGAAGTCCACACATCTTAAAGTTGCCAAGGTTGAGAAACCCTGTTCTATACAGTCAGGAAGTGGCATTATACATATTATTTGTACATTGCATTTTGATTTTTTAATTACCCCAAATGAAATGTAAATTATTATCATCACAGAACACATTGAGAGTGATCAAACTGGACTGTAGCAGATTCACTGCATTAGGAAGGCACCAGTTTGGTGCTGTCTGGAATAAACAACATCATGATTCCTACTCAAATTTGATTTTCTTTCATTCTGTTTAGTTTCTATAAAGATATTGGCTTGGCTCAGTTTTCCAAAAAATCGTGAATTCTACTAAGCCTAGTTGGACTACATTGGCCAGACCATATCTTGAATTCTTCATCTAGTTTTAGGCACCAGACTTCCAAAAAGATTCAAACTGGAACAAATCCAAAGAATGTCAGTGAAAATGATCAGGGAAGTGGAAATAGATATCATAGCAAACTTGGGGGAAAAAATTGATTCACTTTATGATAGTGTTCTCCAAGTACCTGAAAAAATTCATATGGAAGAAGGCCTTGTATCTTTTGTCATCACAGAATACTGGACACAGGATAATGGCATAAATGCAAATTTCCATTGGATGTTATGAAAAACTTTCTAACAGTAAAAGCAATTTGACAATGGAATCAATTACTTAGCATGACAGTGAGATGCCCTTTACCAGATGTCTTCAAGCGCAGGCTGGCAGATAGAGTTTTGCTAGGAATGCTTTAATTTGGATTTCTGCATTAAGTAGTGGGTTGAATTTGGTGGCTTAAATAATCCTTTTGAAGTCTCTGATTCTGTGACTTCAGCACAAATTATGTATGATGTAGTTAAGGATCAAATGTAGTTTATTGAGCTACTGATACCACACTTTTCTAATATACAATGAGTAAAATTAAGAGATCTAACCTAACTGAATCTAAGAGAGATGCAGCTTGTATGAAAATAACTTCCACCAGATGCTACTCTGCCTAATTATCTGTGATCACCACCTGCTGCCTCTTCCCCATTCAGCAGGGCCCCTGATCCTGTAGGAGATTTTTTTACAGGGTGCTTTTGGCTGCAGAAGAAAGCACTGAATGGGAAGGTCATCTTCTATCAACCCTATCCCCTGATGCAGGCAGATCTCTGGATGTAACGCAAAGTGCTTAACAATTTACATCTGCTGTAGCCTTATGAAAAGAATAATATATTCCAATCAGACAGATGTGTGCATACATATGCATATTATAGTTGACTATGACTCAGCTGTGTCGCTTTTACATCTAGACTCTCTTGTAGTTAGCTAAAAAAAAAAAGCTTTAGATTGTTGTATTGCCCCATAGCTAATCCATGAATTGTAATTAGTAGGTTTCTTTTAACACTTTTACTCTCTGCACTTGGCATTTGGCCAATCCTGCATGAGCATCATACCTCTGTGTCCTCACAACACCATCAAGTTCTATAACTGAACCCAATTACTTCAGGCACAGCTACAAAACAAAAACAAAACAAAGTCCCTCCTGCAGCATATATGGTTGAGGTTCAGAGTTGATGGTTTCCACTGGGGTGAACTTCCACCTCAGTCCACATGCCAGCTGCTCAGTTTTCCTCCCTCTCAACCAAAGTCAAGGAGCCACAGTGCCAAATGCACCATTGCACCAATCCTTTTGGCTAATAAGAGGGATGGACTTGCCTCTCTCCATACAATAATGGGTTCATTTTTCCTCCTTACTGTGAAAACAAACATGAGGAGGACAGGGCAAAGATGAGGTGAGGTATTTGTAGGTGTTGATATCTGTACTTTTTTCTTGGTCTGCTGGAGGACATGCAGGTTGGATGATAAGAAACACTGGGCAACAGTGTTGGGAAATCGAAAGTAGGGTGAAAATTATTCTGAGGTAGGATGAATGTAAACAATGTCTGTGTAAAAGTGCCCTCAGCTGGTGGTCATGTTGTTACTAGTAGAAGCGGTCTTGCTAAACTAGTGAATTTGCTACATTACTTCTCTTTTTTAAGTTGTAATTTAATTTAATTTTAAAAATGTAAATCTATTTTGAAGGAAAGAAATAATTGGAAAAGAAGCTGGACACAAAGCAATTTCATGGGTTAGGAAGGATTTCAAACTGTATAACTTTTAAGTTCAAGTCCTCTGTTCTTTCACTCAGAATATGGGCTCGTCCTCATGACTCTCTAATATGACATGAACATGACCTATTACCCCCTTTTTTCTGCTGTGTCCTCAGAGCATAGCTGAGGCAGGTTAGTCATTCTTAGTTTGTTCCAAGTTCAAAATAAGGTTTTCTTCTCCCCAAACTTACAGTCTGGCATACTTCACAATGATGTGTTTGCCAAAGTGATCAGGGATTGGAATCTGTCTAACTCCTCTTTGTTTAAACTTAAGTTTAAGCCACTGTAGGCATGTTCCATTTTCTCTGGTCACTGGGAACTGCCCTCCATGGCCATTTTAGCTTGGGCTGAATCAGGGGCTGGTTTCTACAGAAGAATTTACCCTATTTAATCTCTCACCAGAGCTCTCCGTAGCACCAGTCAGGTCTTGCAGAGATTCCTTATAAACACAAGCTCAGTGATCATCTGAAAAAGCACTAAACCTATATTGGATGATAGTCCAGCCAACAGGTTATAGGTGCAAAGAAGGGGTACAGAGTGAAGCAGGATCAACTCTTCTCAGGCCCCTATTTCATGCAACAATCCTCTGAGCCTATTACCTGTCAGCAGCGCACATGGATTTAATGTTCTTTCGGATACAACTAGACTTGTATTTAGAAACATCCTGACAGGCCACAGCACTGAGCACTGTAGTGCCAGCAGCCA